CTGAAAGTATTTGATATTTAATTTTTCAATAATTATTTTCAACAAAGTATTTAAGTTTGTTTTTTTTTTTATACCCTTGCAGAGGGTATTATAATTTTGTCGTGAAATGTGTAACGCATAGAAGAAGACATCTCCGACCCCATAAAGTATATACATATATTCTTGATCAGCATCAACAGCCGAGTCGATAGAGCCATGTTATCTTAATGAAACTTTGTAGAAGTCCCTCTTTCTGTTGCACGCAGCACATATGTCAAAACCAGCTGGATTGGACCACTATATCATATAGCTGTCATAGGAACGATCGGTCTTGACCAAACTCGGCATTAACTATTTTCCCTGTGATTGTTAGATGCGGTCAAAGCACTATAAGCATTATGAAAAGGTTGGGTCTGCAAGGGTATTAGATCTTCGGCGTGCCGAAGATAGCCTTTCTTTCTCGTTTTATATTTATTTTATCTATAAGTTTTTATTTTAACTTTGTCTCAGTTGTGTTTGCCACTGACTATGTTAGGTACAAAAAAATATTTATATAATATTTTAATTTTATAAATTTCTTAAATCGATTTATAGATTTGTAATATGTCTGGTTTACTTAAAACTAGTCTTGCAAATGCTTTAAAAGTCTTTCATGCAGAATTATGGGATGTGCATAAATATTTCAAAGATATTTTGAATATTTGTATACCCTGAATCCAGAAAGTAAATGTATATGTTTGGGATTAGCATGCGTTTTTCCGTCTAAAGTTGTTCGATGCATCGATGTTGATCGACTGCTTGCTGAGCGTAATAATGTCTTTGAAGCATAAAAGGCTTGAGGCACCACAAATATTTTTACGTATAGTTCTGAAGTTCGTGTATATGTTACCATAGCCGCTTAAATGATATTAGATAGTCGGTCACACACTCGTTTAACCTTTATTTTACTCTTTACCTGACCTCAACACGCTTCTTTGTCAATTATTATCTTCGCAAATGATTCCTTGGCTTAGGCCTGATGCCCGCATGCACTCAATTTACCTTTTGCCTTTGACAAATATCGACGAATCGCTTATAATCGTTTTGCCTAGCATAAACTTATCGAGAATCCATCTAAATTTTGCACATGCCAAAGGTGCTTTGTGCATGGCAAATGCAAAACACTTAACTGGGCCCACACCACCGACTATTAGGGACTGCCGCCATCGTATCAGCCGGCACATCAGTAGGCAGCTCGGAGGCAACTATGGGCCATTTCCGAAACTAAGTGTTGGGTTGTTCCTGTCTTTCGGTCCACCACTTCCTTGGCATTGTGGTTGAGCACGGGAGGTGTATTCAATATATATATACATATTTTTTATTTATTTTGGCAAGCGTCTCATGTGACAACGCGTTGCACAGAGGAAATAGGTGTATATGTTGTGGTTGATTCAGGCTGCTTGCCATAAACAGGATACCTGTACCTTGGAGTGGGAGGCGAGGGATGCTGTTGCTGCCGTAAGCTGATACGAGCACGTTGGGAGCGCGCAATTTTGGCATTAGTCTAAAATGCGGTCTGGCATTTAATTTCTATTTCAACATTTCATTGAAATTTGAGCGTTTACCACAGGTGTGCAGGGCAACAGGGGATACGGTAACCTCTGGAAATAGCAGGAAGAGAGAGGGCTGAGAACTGGGACTTGGCAGCGCCGTTGCAGGTTTTTCCTTGCATTTGTTTGCTCTTCCTTGGTCATGCTATTCAGTTAGGTGTATTTACTGTTAGTCCATCGCTTATATATTTATTTTACCTTTGAGAATTTCAGCTCAAATTGTGCGTGCTATACACAGTTGACATGTCAGGTCGGGGCAGGGCTTCGACTTCTGGGGCTTACCTGTGGGCCACTCGCTCTTGGCGCTCCTTAAAATGTCAAATGTCCTGGCAGCGGGGACGTCACATGTGGCGCTTGCTGCTAATGGAAATTGTGGCAAGCAACTGACGCACGACGACTTCCTGCCGTGTAACTGGAAATTTATGCTAAAAAGCTGTTACTTAGGCGTTCCTTGTGGGAGGATATGGGTGGGCATGGCGGGAGTTATCATCAGACTTTTTTGGAGGCCTTTTGGCTTCTGGTTATTTGTGTGAAAAAACAAATTTTTGTTATTTTACTCGAGTAACATGCAATTTTCTCCCAGTTGCCGACTTATGCCAAGGGTATAATTACTTTGTGAGAATGATTGGGACTTCAAAGAAATTTACTTTTAAGAGCAATATTAAACGATTATATATTTTATAGGATTCTTGAATGTGTTGCGATCAAAAGAAATAGTATATTGCGATGAAAACCAATAGTATATAACGTTCCTATTCTTGACTATCACTTTTTGGTCAATTCTATAGAAGATATTTTAAGTTAAATCCATTTAAAAACTCGATTGTATTACTCTGATTATTAAGCGACCTTAAAGACCTGTTTTCTTGAACTGAGAAGTCCTCAGAGAGGTGTTTCTGACACTAGATAGCTTCTGATTGTAATACTCTAACTTGTTTTAGTGGAACAGCTTTTCAATTAAACTAAATCTCTTCCATAATCAAACACTAACGCACAATGCAAGTGTATTAAAGTTTCGTTTTGGCCGTGGAAATGTGTCTGTTTTTTCTTGGTGAATCCCAGCTCGTGTATGCTCTCTGAGTCCTATTCTGTTGTCCTGCGGCACGTGGCATGTTTTTGCCTCAAGTTCACACTTAACAAACAACTGTACAGAAGGCTGGGGCTGCCCTTTGGCATATGCGTTGGTTGGCGGCGCTGGTTTGCTTTTTGTCTGTTCGAGTCTCCATCGCATAATTTTTCACTTGTATCCTTTTGTGTATGTCTTCCTTGGTGTTGCACACATGCAAAGCACAAGGCTTTTATATTTTTATGTGCCTTTATTTTGTGTTTTTTTTTTTTGCTTTCACCCACATGGGCCTTTCCGTTTCAATCCTTAAGTGTGTGTGTGTGTCCGTTTCGACTGTTGATAAATTTGCTTAGATTATTATCCTGGTGCGGTCTGCTTTCTGGTGTTATCTTGTGCAGTAATTAGTCTCGAGCTTGTTTGCGCCGCATTTACACAAAATGCTTTCTACGGCGCCACACGCACAGGACTCCACAAACAAAACCGGAAGTTAGACGGGCTCTGCCTGATAATGTACAATAGAGCTCAGAATACATTTATTCTTGTTGGACTTTCGTGTGAGTCGACTGTGAGTTAAGAGCGGTTGGAGGTAGGCCAAGCAAATTGCTTTCCATGTGAGGATTGCCTTAGTAATACATAAATGCAAGCCGCTTGCTGAATCAAAAGTTGGATAAGTGTAAATTAACTCGTTATATTTACAACTAGTTTTAGAAATATTTATTGTGAAATCTTATTACGATAAGAGTTTCTCATTACTCCTGAATACGGTTAGATAACTTTAGTTATAGAAGAAATTATCCAAAGAAATGAAGTATTGATGCTTTTTTCTTTGTAAATAAAAGCATCTGGAGTTGAATCTGCGACTTCTCTTATGACCCTTATGGCTACTTGGAAGTTGAATTTTCCGAAAGCTTCCACAAGAAAGCTTCAGTTGTACTTTCAGCTTTCTAACTCCTGTGGTTTGGGCTTTGCGTTGATCACCAATCAGTCAGGACAATAAGCTTTATACAGATTACCTAAAAGGTTTCTTCTCGAGCAATGATCGAGAAATGCATTTTAATTTAACACGATGATTCATTTGAATATAGGTACTCATCGCGATCCCTGTGGAAGTTATCAGAAAAATGGGCGGCTAAGCTAATAGTTGCTATGATAATCCACCTACAAACATGTACATTTTGTCTTAACAATTCCTGCTCTTCTTTCCAAAGAACTTTGCCGTCAAAGGACTTGTCCTGCCATAGATCATTGTAGAACAAAGGGCGGAAACCTCAAAATATTTGCAATGCTGCCCAGCAGTATAATAACTAAATCTTTGTTAGGTCCTAGTAAACATGTTGCAACATGCGTTAAGACGCCTAAGCCCAGCTCGTTGTGCCTAAGCCGTGGGATTAAATTGGATCAAGGAGTTGCCGAAAATGTGCCTTAAAGGTAAAAGGTGAAATTTTCTGCTGGGGCGTTTTTTTTTTGGGAATTGATCCCTTTTTTGCCGTTGGCTGTAGGTGTAGACCGCATAATTTTGCACTCAATAGTAAATAGAAACCTCAAACCAAGGCAGGCGAGTTTTTTCGTCGCCCTGGCTAAGTCCATCAATCATTTCTTAGCCGGCCGTCAGGGCAGCCAGGCACATTAGCATTTATGAAGTTTGCCCGGTGAATTTTTTCGGTCTTAGCCGAACAAAAGGCTCATTCAGTGCTCGCCTGGCTGGTTGACTTTAATAAGATTTTCATAATTTCATGCGCTTGTGCATATTTGGAGTCAATTAATGTCAAAGTAGTTTGGAAGCGCTGCGCAATCGATCAAATTATAAATGCAGTGCCTCGGCAGGAGGGGAGGCGTTTAAATGTCTGCCGGGTTATGTTGGTGCAATGGAATTATGGGGCAGTTTTTATATGACATACATGAATATGAATGATGATGACTTGGGCCAATGTTATATGACCTTTTCCCTTGCATTATGCAAAGAAAATGATGACTTCTCTTGGGTGTTGATGTTAGCGATAAGGTGGAAGGAAGGCTTTGTGGGAACAGTGACAACAGCTAATGATTAGACGCTGCTGCATTTCTCATCAATTAGATATGCTCATGCTTAGTTAGTCAGATAGTTAAGATTCTTGGATAAGAAAGTCGAAATACGTCAGTCAAATGAAACTAATCGAAAAGTACATGGCAGGAAAGTTGGTTAAAGACTTTTGATGAACTCGGCTATCGAGTAAGTATGCAAATAATTTTTTTAATAATAATCCAAATACTCTTGTTCTTTTTTTTTACTATATCATATTGTTATTGTCTCATAAATTAATTTTCATGCTTAACTTTTGAATTATAAATGCTGTTAACTGATATTAATTATTTATTTATATTTACAGCTCTCACAATTGGTTGGCATTATTCTTTTCGGTTAACCCAACCATTTAAATCCCGAACACAAAACATTTCATTAACTAAATTAAATAAAACCGGGATAACCCACAAACAGTCAAACGGATTTTGTTGGTATGTGTTTTTATATTAAAAGCGCCATTTTAAATGCTATTTCATATTATGCACTTAATCCAATTGTTGAGGCGTGTAAAAACGTCACGTTATCAAGTTGAACAATAATAATAAAAAAATATAATAATAATAATAATAACCGACAAGGTAATTAGTAAGTTTATAATTTAATATAAACTGCTCATTTGTGAATTTAATTAATGTTTATATGCGCGTGTCAAAGTGGATTAAGGTCTAATTTAATAACTGACTAGTGAAATTGTGGAAAAAATCATCATGTATTTTATATAAATTCAATAAACAAAAGCATTATAAACAATTAGAAACAGCGACAGCGATAAACTAAAAAGCGTTGAAATGTAGCTGCTAATGCACTTTTCCTGCCCTGCCCTGACACGAACTGCACACAACTGTTGACTGTCAGGGATTGGATGGCTGGCTGCATATGATATGTTATGGATACTTAGAGCGTCCAACATTTGTTGACACATGCTGATGATGATACTCGGGGTAAACCACAGCAGCTACAACAAGTCACAAGAACGCCCACAGATGTCATTGAGAGCCGACTACTTTAAGGAGCTGTCAATTTCTTAGGATATTACTAAGGATAATGCATCCCTTGAATGTAATTTATGCATGTCAGCGCTGAAGTGGATATGTTATGCCTTGAGCCGCATCCACGCCTGCGCACAGCTGTGGCCGCGTGGCTGGCTTGTAACCTTAGACAACTCCCAATGCTCAGAGAAGGCTGTGCCTGGTCGGCCATGCCAAATGCCAAGTTAATCATATTGTTGACTGCAACTGAAACTAATTACAAATCAATTTGTATCAGCCCCGCTTAAGAAACGAAACCAAAGCAAAGCAATTCCCCACAGGAAATGAATGCGGCCTGGTCTGGCCACAACCACCTGCCGTTTTATGTGGTCGCCACATTGACAAGTCTATTTAATGTTATAGTATGTGTGTTATAGTATATATAGAATACTACTAATTTAAAGTGTAATTTCAAACAGCAAATGGAACCTATGCGCCATAAATCAGCGAGACGACTTTGAGGCGCAGTAACATAATAAACTCACAAACAGAGAAGTATCCATTTGAAGTGCGATTTTTATGTGCCTCCAAGTTGTAAAAAATGTCAGGATTGAGTCGATGTTTGTTCACACCAAAATCAGCTCATACCCGGCAATCAATAGATGGCTTGGCAACATGGTATGCTGCTCTGCAAACATAGGACAGACTACAATTGGCATTCTCCAGGAGGAGTTTCTTTCGCCTTTGCTATAAAACCCAGTTCTCAATTGTGGATGCAGGATTATTGCAGGACAAGCTGGCTCTCATGATAACGGCTAAATTTTTACCCACAATCTGTGAAACGCTTGGACTCTGCTCTCGGCTGTATCCTGCAGTAGGCACAGGAAATTGGTCTGTGCGTCAATTCACAAAAGACCAAACTGATTTTCTTTACAAGAAGATATGAAGTACTCTAATTGAAAACGTGGACTCAAAACATTTTTAGAAGACAAACGCTGTGGAAAGAATGAGGAAGATAATACGGCTCCTTTTGCATCAGAGGGAGTTTTGTTAGGAGTTTTACCTTCACATTCATTCAGATTCATTAAAAACTGACAAATGGCTGCCTGCCTTTATGTAATAGGATCTGCATATTGGATCTGGCTTTATTATACATTTATCTCATTCATATGCAACTAAAAGGTCAAACTCCACGAGTTGCAACTCCCTCAGCCAAATATTCCAGGCAACAGCCGGATAGGTGATAACTGTATGTAGCCTGCGAGCGGAAACCCCCCTTGAGGAGGAACGAGCTCTTCATTTACCGGGTCGAAAACGGAAGATGGAACAGGGGCCGGCGTCTTTTCGAAGGAGCTGGCAACATAACTAGCTTACCGTCTACTGAGCTAGTGTAGTCTTTTAAGCAGAGATCTATTGTGTCTCGTAAGCAGCAAAACTCATCAGCCCTCTTGGGGAGATCCCAAGGACATATCATTATCATCATCAATCATATCACACTGACAAAAGCAAACTCTTTCAGAACACATATTTCAAACCAAGTTTAACCATGCTCAATCACTATAGCTTGGGATCCTTGCCTTTCCGAGCTGGCGGACGAATGGCGGACGAGATGGCGGACGAGATGGCGGACGAATGCGTTATTATTGGATTGGATTGTCAACGGAACTTATAGCCGATATCTACAGACTCGAAAAGTAAACTTTTTATAGACTAACAAAGGGACAGTGTGCCTCTGAGCCTAACTGTTAAATATCGTTTCAACACAGGTCAAAACATAATGTTTAGTGGACATCCACTTGCACTTTAATAATAACAGGATAAGGATAATGGTAGTTTTATCGGGTCCCTGGGCCATATTCCGTATAAAACAAAGACTGTCAGTTCCCATTCTTTACTTCTTCCGATACTAGAGAAGATGAAGAGAAGACGGTATTAAAATTCTAACATGTGAGTGTCCTGCATTTGTAAAAAAAGGAGGATTGAGAGTAGAAATGAGTGAAATAGGTGGATGTTGGTTGACAGGAATTTCTTATTACTTGCTCAAGGGTTCAAATATTGTAGGATGTAAAGAGTTTAACTTCAAGCTTAAATAATATCTAAGGGAAGACTACTACCTTAGCTTCAAATTAATCTTAAGAGAAGTTTCATTTTAATAAATAGACGAGAATTCAATTTCATAAACCATTCAATATATATATTTTTGTAAGTTTCATAATCATTTTCACTTTATCGGCTTGGAATTATGCCTTTGATATTCCTAAAAGATAAAATGTTCTAAAATTTGATTGATATACGCACATTTCAAAGGCCTACCATTTATAACAGTTTATATAATCTTATATTATATACGTGTTGAAATTCTCAGGCTGCTACCAATTGAATAAAATAGCTTGCTCAACTTTCACCTCAAAAATGCTCCCTTGCCTTTATTGGCACTTAAGTTTTAGGAATCCTTTTCTCAGCATTACGACGCAAATAAGCACTTCAGCTTCACTGCCTGGCCATTGTGCCCGGAGGACTGAAGGCATTTGTCTTCTAATTATGATTTCAATAGGTTGTGCAAAATCAAAGAAGGCGTAATTCGCTCTCACCAGTCCGTCAAGGAGCGAAGAGCGTCTTATAAACAATACCAAAGTCCCTTTAAGGCGGCAAATCAAATCAAAGAAATAACAAACAGCCAAAAAATAATAATAAATAAAAAGGAGTACAAAATCTGGCCCTGAAACTACAAAAAATATGTGTATCTGTGAGTGTATTGTGTGTGGACATATGTATGTATGCCATTGTTGACAGGCTCAGACCGCAGACAAAAGGAGTTCTCTTTTTGTGTTAGCCCACAAAAGAAGCGGAAAAAGCGATCAAAGAGGCAAAGAGCTGCTAAAAAAAACAACAACAACAACAATAAATAATTGAAAGAAAGAACGCTGAACTCAGCGCCTTGTTCTTGAACAAAACGCGAGGCATCAACACACATCCCCTTGTGCCCAGCGTGCACATACTACATGTGTGTTTGCGGATTCAGTTTGTGGCCAGCTTAGGATCGTACTCATCACCATCATCTGCTTTGGTTGCGAGGACGAGACGGTGTCTTAAGCGCTTTAAGTGAAATTAAAACATTTCACACAGCAGGCGAGCGCCTTTAGTTGGCTACTTGTTATGCAAACATTGCCACAGATTTTCATATTTATTTTTGTAAAATACACTGGTAAAATTTGTTGGTGTTATTTAAACCAAATTGAAACTAGAGCTGTGCATAAGAAAGAAATTCCGAACACCTACCTGCCCACCCCGTAACAGACTCTTATCCAGTCCCGTTCCGACGTTTTCTTTAGATTTATCCCGTTCCCAACCGAAATTTCTTTCTCCTTATGCGTTGTTTCTTTTTATCAGTTTTATTTAATAAACATATTTTAATCATGATTGTTAAAATAAAATTTATATTCAAAAAAGATGATTTACTGTTTCTTATATATGAGTTAAAACATTTTAATTTAAGCAAAATACTTTGTCAAAATATTGAAATTCCACAAAAAGACCCGTCCAGTTCGCGTATTTCCAATTCCGGGTTTCCGATCCTTCTTAATTTTAAAAGAGAATTTTGTTTTTTATTAAAGGAGAGTAATCTCTATAAAGTCTTATATTATAATTTTACATATACAGTTTATTTAAGTTACTGAAAGAAATGTCTTAAGAGATACTTGTAGTCCTTCAGTAATTATTAGATTGCTTAAACAGAACTGCTTAAAAATGACTTGCTGAATATGCGTATTTAGTAAACGGGTGAAAGTAGATACTGAAGTCTTGCTGTAGCGTAAGGGAATTATGTTTTTTTTTTTATAAGAATAATGTTTTGCTAAGCACTTGGCTAATTTATTTAGGAGCAGTTTGCTGTTGTATGCATTCTTTGAGTGCACTCACGCACTCCTTAGATTTAGAGCATAACGCTTATCATGTCCAGCATACTGTGTGCACAACCGGCCACGTAATCAGCACAGTTTAAGCCGCGCGTGCCCAGCTCTGTAGCCTCATAGAGGCTATCCACGTGCTGTAGTCGCTGCTCGGCGGCGCTTGTCGTTGGCCTGTGTGAGAGGCGTGAGGCCACTAATTAGATCTGAAAATTTGTCCAGGCATGGGGTCACACACAATAACCCCAACTTACATGAATAGAATTTTGAATATGCTGCCCAATACGCCGTTGTGTGCATCCAGTGGAGCAGCGGTCACCTCGCAGATGGTGCGCAGCAAACAGGCGCTGCCATTGTAGCCATACTGACCCAAATAGCTAACAATCGCTCTGTAGAAGTCGTGACGTGTAAAACGGGGCGGTGTCGAAATCGAACGTTTCTCCAGTTTATCGTCATTGCGTCCATCTATGGGCGTCACATCGCTACCAATGCCGAGAAATCCCTCGTCCAGATCCCACTTTAAGTAAAAGCATTATTTGGGCACAGCGGGAATTCAAGATCTGTTAACTTACCCTATCAATCCACTGATTGTAAGAGTCATTCGACGGCAAACCATAGTTGGACTCGAAGTTGAAGGCCATGTACACATTGCGATACGTAAGGTCCAATGGAATGGCCACTGCAGCTAGTAACTGGAATGCACAAGTAATTAAATCAGTTTTGGTTAAAGATTTTGCTTTGCTTACACCTATGGAACCGCCACGTGGAAAGAACAGCACTGCACTGGTCAGCTTGACAGTCAGTACAATAAGAATGAATCCAACTAGGAGGCGGCAACAATAACGCGAGCGATTGGAACTCATCGCGAACAATGAATGCGCTAAGTGAACTGTTTGCAGTTTTCAGTTGCAAGTTCCATATAAGTTGTAGAAAATTGCAAGTGGATGGTGCAATAGAAAAGCTAACAAAAGAAGAAATGGCATCAGTCAAGTACAGGGTGTGACTTTTCGACTAAAATTTGATTGAACTGGTTCACTTTGGTTTGCTCACCAAAATTCTTATTAGAGCTGGTTCAAACCAACTTTTATTTTTATTGTATCAACAAAATTCGTATTAAAAATGAGTCGAATACAACATTTAACGAAAAATAATGAGAAAACTTTACTAAAGGTCTAAATAAAAGACTAAAAGATAAAGGAAAATATAATAGAAGATATAATAAAAGATATAATGCAATTTTAACTCGAATAAATACTACTCTCATGTTGAATTGAGATCTTAAGAATGTAATGTGATGATGTAATATTACTTATATTTTTGTTCTTGTTCGGGGAAACGTTCTTCTAATACTTATTCGGTCCTATTTATATAAATAATAGTTAATAAATTGCATTGCATACGATTAAAATACATCTTACATTCTCTGCAAAAGACTATTGCTTAACACGGACTAGACATCAAATTATGAATGAATTTGCAATGGAATTAAGTTGTGATCAGATTAAACCCAAGATCCAAGCTTGTGTCTGACAGCTATAACTGGAATATGCAAGTTTTACACAGTTTCCGCATGAACTGACCAAGTAACTTGGCCATCCAGCAAGAAGCATGTGGCAAGCGTCAATTAGATTGTGATAATTAAAAGAATTTGTAAAAAGTTGCAGCCAGAAAGAAGAATCTATTCTTTCTAAACAATTTTAATATGTCGTCGCTCAGTTCGGTAATAAATGCGTTAGCTAGAACTTTGAGAAGGTTTTTTTTTTTATCAGTCTGTGAGATTCAGTAACGCGCTGCTGGGCAAAGCATTGACAACGTGCGCATCGTGTGTTGATTTACTATCATAATACCCAAATATAAATAGAGCATAAAGAATATGAAATCAAGAATATTGCTGACTATAGGTAGTTGTCTATATATAAGTATACTAAGTAATTCGTTCTCAAGTGCGACTGCCACTTACGGTAGTCTATCAAAACATGAGCGTACCAAACGAACGCCAATACCGTGGCTCGTCTTTCCAACGACCTCACCCACTCGCGTTATGGTGAGTAAAAGTGTGAACGTGATTTAGTGATTGATTAAAGGAAATCCCATATATAATTAGTTCATTGGCGGCATTGGTATACCGCTTGAGGATCTTGAATACGAGGCTGTGACAACAGGCTATGTTCTAAAGGCGGAATACTGGTTGCCCGAAACGCCGGATTCATTGCGTACTCCCACAGCTTTGCCTCTTAACCAGGTGCCTACGTTGGGATCTGTTGGTGCGCGCAGACGTCGACCTATGTTTGAGAACTTTCTGGTTGACGCCAATGAATTGGGCAAGAGCACAAGGAAGCTGCTAACGAGAACCAACAAAGTGTTGAGCAGCTATCGTTGGACGATGTACAAGGGCTTGGAGGGTTTGGCTAAACGCCTGGGCTATCAGGGGCGCATTTGTGTGCTGAAAAGCATTTGCGAGGCAGCCGAGGAGCCTTTTCATATTGCAAACGGCCTCATTGCCGACCTTTTGCATATTCTGCTGACGTAAGTAGAGCTGTGGTTTAACGCACAACATAGCCCTTAGACTTGATCTGTTAATAGACCCTCTTCATCGGTGGATAAGCTGTCAGAGCATGCGGATAATGAGTATTACTATGCCGAGAAGGTGGGCCAATCGGGCGCGGGCTGTGACCGAGTGTTTAAGGAATGCCATCGCAGTTTGCTGCAACACTTTAGCGAACTACATGACAATCTGGACAAATTTATGTATTAGTTAATAAAACAAAAACTAGAAAAACCACTCGCGAATGTTCTTAAATAGAGGGTCAAACATAGAAACATAGAATGCACCATTTAAATAGCATATAATATTTTTTTTGTTTTTAATATTTTGGTATCATTTTCTCCAAAGCTTATATTTAGTGCTAAGCTAACTGTGAATACTTGATACTTAAAAAAAGATTAGTGAAAATTCTAGTTTAGAGGACTCTTACAACAATTTTATAAAAATGTTTATCATTGTTTTAGAAACTGGGTTAAGTCTCAGATGTTATACTTTTAAATATAAATCACGCCTAGTGTACTTCATGGAACTAATAGACCGTTTAGGTGTTAATTAATAGAACGCGAAGTCTACTGTTTTTAGAAAACTCACACATTCCCATAGCGATAAGTTAAATGGGCACACAGTAGTGTCAGAAATATTTAGCGAGGCTCTTAAGCTTCAACGGACTCGAGCCAAATTTGTTTTATCTGTTGGCACTTTCGGTTTTTTTTTTGTTTTTTTTTATATAGTTTTCAATAGAAGAAAGTAAGATGCTTTCTTTTACAAAGTTTTTTGGCATAGTTAAGAGCTAACACTGGAACTGTGCGGTTTGGCAGTAGTTAAGAGCAGCGTGGCAAGGATACAAAGGAAAACAATAATATGATCATAATTTTGCATCTGAAATGGTTTATAGCGCTTTGCTGGGCCTATTTGGCTGTTGTTTTAGCTTACAATCAAAACTTTAGCCATGAGCTACATGATGAAAGTGATCTGTTGGTGCGAAAGGCACGTTGGCTGCCACTGATCTATCCACCTACCCATGCCGCCAGATTAAAAGTCGGTACGCACTATTGACTAGGATCGTTATAATGCTAATATGTTTCCACTGCAGTTTATTGCGGGCTTTGGTATACCCGTGGAAGATCTTAAATTTGAGTCCGTTACCACGGGCTATGTGTTCAAGGCGAGCTATTATTTGCCCAACTCAGCCAAGCAAATACGCACGAAGGACGTGCACGACATAACTGAACGGAAGCTTATGGATAATGCAACCATATTTCAGCAGGCCATGCGAAAGAGCGACGAGGAACTGGGTCTGGTCACTAGAGTTATGGAAGAGACATCACAGGCCCTCAGTGACTATCGATGGGCTGTTTACAAGAGTTTTGAGACTATGGCCATACGTATGCATCTGAATGGACGGCAGTGTGTTTTGAAGAGCATCTGCGAGAGTTCCGCTTCACCGTTTGATGAGCGCAACGGACTGCTGGGAGAGCTCCTGCACATATTGCTGACGTGAGTAAAGTGCGACGCGTTAATAGTTCACTAATTAACTGGATCTTAAAAGTCCTTCCAGCTCAATAGATGCCCTGTCAGAGCACACGGATAACGATTATCTACATGCCGAACGTTTGGGGCATGCGGGCGTCGATTGTGATAAGGTCTATTCAAAATGTGAAAAATCACTCTTGGAGCACTTTTCAGATGTGCATCATTTGGGCAGTGAATTTCTAAACATGTTGGGCTAAACATTTTGAAAATATTTTAAATGGAAATATTTCTAAATGTTTTATAAAAACAGTCACAGTATAGGTGGGAAATTCAATTATTTCTTTACCAAATCAACAAATAGTTGAGTATCAATTAATCTGGTGATACACTTAGTATTGCAATTTAAACAAATATTTCGTGTTATTGTATTCAAAATACTATAAGTATTACAAAAGCTATTTTCTGAATTATCAGAGCTCTAATTTTAGCTAACCATAAAAGTTCCTAATATCTGTATTAATCTACATTAAAAAATAATTAAGATATTTTTACAACTTGCTACATTAATCCTTTTATTTGTGTCTTAGGTATATATTCTTAATCATCGTCAACAGCCGAGTCGATCTAGACATGTCCGTCTGTCCGTTTGTCGGAATTTAGAGACCTTAGAAGACTTGTTTCCAAGCAATCGATACAAGTCGATATGAAATTATGATTTTATTTTGCAAACCTCTTAGGTTTTAAGAAACCTAGAGTCGGAAAATTTAGCATGTAGCTTTTCGTTAAGTAAATACAGGTCAGGCACATATTGTATATTTGGTTCTTAGCTTATGTACACCAACCTGAAAGGCAGCTCAGACTCCGAAACTTGACTTCCTTGTTGTAAAATTTAATTTAGGTATTAGTGAAGAAAAATGACTTCCCAGTTTTGGACACCCACATTGAACAGCGAACAGTGATTAAGAAATTAGTTTTCCATACTTTGAATACTTGAAAAATGCCTGTGAAAACAACGTTTCTGGCATTCTAACAACTTCCTCTATGCATCATTTCACTGTCAAGCGTGAAATTTATGCAAATTTGTACATAATAACTCTTTTTGTTTTCTATTTATGGCTTGGTTTCAACTTGAACTTGATATCCATCTCGCTGCAACCAGCTCTTTCTCCACGCTCGGGTGGTCGCTTTTTCTACCTAACAAAATGTACGCATCTTGCAGGTCTTTAGCCGATGCCAGGGCAAACGCATTGTCTTTTAATTTAATAATTATAGTTGGGGTCATGGATAGCATTAGCTACTGGGTCTTAAGACCCACCACCGATGTTTGTATTGCCCTATGTTGCTAGCCTGGCCAACAAATAGGCGTTTAAATGCAAATGTCGGCGCTGTAATTAATACGCATAATACGCGTATTATGCTAATGCCAATGCTATAATGACTTGGCCCAAAACTTGGTCGTGGAAAGACAAAAAAAATATGCTTTTGACACTTGAAATGCAGTCGACGCGATCATATATTCGTCACTGCGATCCATTGTTAATGCTTTTACGTACTAATTAGCTTTGACAAAAAACATAAAACAACACAGCTACTAAAAAATTAGTAGGCAAAGGGTCTGAGTCTGCGTCTGAGTCTGGCTCTGGGTTATGGCTTTGGGTTTTTTTTTGTGGGATCTGCGGGTCATCGTCTGTGACTTTCTCTAATGAAGTTCCCAGCGAGTGGCTTTTAATTTGTTGTTGTCTGGTTCTGGTACACTTGTGCATCATTTCGAATGATGACAACATGTGATAAGAGCTGCATATTTGACAGGAGTCTCTAATCCACAAGACCAAGGCCAATGAATGTGTCTGCAGTCGCTGGGATCGTAGGATCCGCCATAAACTAGAATCTCTGGTCGAGATAATCACAGCGCGATGATGCTGTTGCAGTTGTTTTTTTGTTTTATATTTATTTATTTAGTGTAGCTTAATAGTTTCCAGTCACCTTTCACAAGTTTCATGTTGTTGTGATTACCTTTAACCCTTGCCTGTTTGTTTTGGGGCAATAATTTTTATTTCCATTGCCTTTCTTTGGAAACAATTTGTACCAACATGCAACTTAACGAAGTAATCAGAGTGTGTGTGTGTGTGCTTGGAGCTGCAGGCCACAGGAAGAGTCTGGGGCATGGTCAGATGCTTATCCCGCCAGGTTGCGACAACTATTTTATGACCTTATATGCGAGTGGGGGGAGGTGCTTGCTGTCTGCTCAGTGCTTCTTTATATGGCTGAATGGCTATTTTTGGTAACCCCTTTTATTTGCCTTTGGCGAAAGTAGGTCCCCGTCTCGGTGCCAGGGTTTTGTTTCGTTTTTGCCCAAAGTTGGCAACTGGTGTTATATTTTTGTGCAGCAGAGCTAAAATGTAACAAATAACTCTAGGTCGAGGTCGGGGCTGGAGGTGGGCAGTATTTCTCTTTCTCTATTTCTCTTATTCTCTATTTTATGGAGTACGTATGTTAGTTATGGTAAGTTAACAACTGCCTCTATGGCCATGCTAATTATGTGGGCATGAGCTGTTTGCAAGACTGTTGCTCAGCGTAAGAAAAAGATAATAAAGTTAAAGTTATAGCAATGTGGATAATCAAAACATATATATTATGTTGTTAATTATACAAAATAGATTTATCTTATATTTTTTCTTGAGAAATATATATAAGTCTTAAATAAATTTATGTTAGTGCTATCTTTTTTAATATATGTTATTACATTAAAATTTCCGTTTTAGAAGTTTTCTTTGAATTTGAATATATATATTTTTTCTATATAATTAATTTTAATATAATTAAATAATCATTTTATTCAGTTCAATCTCATGATAAATTTCATAGAATTTGCAAAGTTGAAAGAACGAAGTTGAAAGTTCGTAAGGTGCTTTAAAAAAATATATATTTAGAAAAAAATCGGAGGAAAAGGCAATTGAAGATTTCTGAAATTTGTTAGGAATTAAATGGCCTTCTTGCATTCATCTTGATTAAATCATTAGCTATCGCTATTTTTTCATCTTCCTATTTTACACAGTTTTGGAAAATATCTTGAGAACTTTATATCTTTAATTAACCATAAAGAATCGCACATTTATACGAGTTGTTGTGATTGGAGGCTCGGACTACACGCTTTTTTATGGTGCAATGCCAGCATAAATTGATGCATATCTCGATTCGCCTTTAACGGTTCATCAAACTCATTTTCTCGTTCAAACTTTTGATTGCAGCCATTAAATTACACATCTTATCGATAATGTCGTGTATTTGTGTATATTTCATGCTAATTAGAAGTCAAAGATATTCACTTGGCGATATGGAATAATTAATTGCGTATAATTTTTTTTTATCGCTGAACCTGCAAACGCGGGCTCTTATCCAACAGTTCCCCAACTCACTTAACGTCTCACTGATTAAGTTATATCAGTTGTGGCATCAGTTTGCTAGTGTGAGAGATTCCCCCTTTTGGCCAAGCCACTCGTCGTATGCGCATTGTCATCATAATTTAGCCATTGTCCGGGAATCTGATGATATTTTTGCATAATTTCGTGTATGGGGGTGTTTGTGATGCAGTTTATTATTTAAATAACGTGACTAAATTTACGTAGTGCTGTAGGGTAAGCAAACGAGAAATAACAATAGGAAATGCAAGAAAAGCGGACAGTTAAATAATAATAGCCGACGTTGGTTTGCATATGCAAAGTGAGACCAGACAATTT